CCTGTCTGTGTGACTCTTGCATGTGTTTGTATGTATACCAAGAGGGGGCCGATGCTAGGCGGGGCCTGATGAATGTGTTAGGCGAGGTCCACCACATGTTACTGACAGATCTGTACCGGGCGGCGCTCGATGGATGCCAAATAGGGCCCGATTTATGTATGGTATGTGGTATTTTGGGGAACTCCTTAAGCTTTGTGTTTACAGTTTATGTTTATGGTTTCAGGTATCTCTGGTTCGAAGCGGAAGAGCCCGACATGATCATACCACATCCACCGATGTTCTGCATTTTATGATTTTGATTTGTACTCTGATAATTATTTTCTATAGTGTCACACTTTGGTTGGTTTATGAAATGAATGATTGATGGCTTTCGTTGACTTAAAAATAATAATAAATAAATCTTAGTATTTTTGGAATGTTACATTTATACTTTTAAATTCTTGCTTAATATGATATTATACTTTGAAAAATAACCCCATTATAGCAGAATAAATTACTTTAAGTTTAAATAGCATTGCTATAACCGAATAGTTTTTCGAAGTAGAATGTTCTAAATATAAAATCAGAAGAAATGAAAGTATAATTTAAAAAATTTAAATTACAATGTCATTTTGACCAAATCTATCATTTTCAACTCGATTTTAATTTATGACTTTTAAACAAACTTCAAGATGTAAATAAATGTTGTTATATGCTCCCAAAACATAATTTTTTGTCATTTTGGTCGATTTTGACAGATTTGGCATTTTTGACCAAATTTGTCAAATTTGACCATTTCTGTCTCCTTTTTAATTTTACGAACTTAAAAAAAAACTCCCCGGATGCAAAGAAATAAGGTTGTATGCTTTCGAAACAAAATTTTTGGATAGATTTCTAATGGTAAGGAAGAGTGTGTTACTTAGAGAATAGAAACACATAAATCTTTGATCTTATTCAATTTGTAGTCTAAAGTATTAACACACGTATTTATGATTGTAATGCATATAGAAACCTCATAGCAAACAATCCACTATTTTAAGAGTTTTGATTTTCAAGGTAAACTAGGAAAGTTTCCCCATGCTATGCATGGATTGGAGTCTTCAAGTTGGTCAGACTTCATTATTTCAATTTTTTTGGGGATTGAAAGTGGAAGGTGAGATAATGGACGAAAATTGTCAAAAAAACAATTCTCCGTCAAAGGACAAAAAGAGCCTAAATTTAAATCCAAGGACGAAATCATATAAAACCCAAAGTAGTGTGACAAAAGTCCTAAAACCTAATAAGTTACTGTTCTTAAGGATCCTTGAAATTTATGTTATATTTAGTAGTTATATATTTGTTTAAAGTTGAATATATAAAGAATATACCTTGATCATTTCTAGCAGTAAAGACATTGAAACAGCCAAACAGTATCCAAGATGCATGTTGAGCGTTTGAGTCCCATTACGACCTCTTATCGTGATCATCTTTGAAATAACCACTTTTACGTTGAGGTTAAGGCCAACAACAAAAAAACTGAAGTTGGCCAATCTTAGTTAAAGGTGGTTTCTGCTTGGTTTGTTCATCCATTTTTCTAGAAATCCTATAACATTTTTCGACATAGGGGTCATTTAGAAAAACACTAAATAAAGTTACAGATTCATACAAACATAAAGAAAACTAGAAATATGATGACTATTTTTTAAGACACTTCTTAGCCCTCATGCTGCAACATTTATTCTTGTTGCTTAGAACTACTAACACCCCAAAATCATCTCTCTTTGCCTATATCAAGAACACAATGTATAAAGTGGAAGTAGATTTTTTTTTCAAAGAACGTAATTTTTGACAACGTACAAAATATTATTTCTTCGTTATTTCTCAAGCTAATAATCTTGTTCCCATAGAGGTTTTAGAATTAGAAAACAAAATATGCTTTGCAATTACTTTTTTGTCATTTGTCTTTGGTTTAAGTAGTTTGACCACATTATTGAGTGTTTAACCGGTATAGAAGCTTTGTCACATTCAAATTGTAAATTAAAGATTATTTAACATACCTCTGGATGGAAATCATAAAAAATCATATAGGAAAAAAGGTTATATGTCTTCACATTAATTCCTTTGAATGTTTCTAAAATGCACATTAGTAATATATATATATATATATATATATATATATATATATATATATATATATATATATATATATCATTTAAAGGCTATTGAGATGGTAAAAGAAGTTAATAGATAATTTAATATCATTTGTGACATAAGTTAACCATGTGAAAAATGAAAAGAAGATTTAATGTTAAAATAAACGCTTCATATGGTATAATATTAAATGATAGTTTCATTTTATTTACTTCTTTTTATAGTTTATTTTAACATATTTCATTCATAATTTAGTTAATCTTAATGCATATTTTCCTTTTTGTTATTTTATGATTATTTTGGATACTTTATAGTTTTGTGAGCATAATTGTAGATTTTAAGGAAATTAGCGGAGCGGGAATGTTCGGGATGTGTGAAAAGCAAATGGACTAGGAGGACGATAAAGAATCTTGGGCTTGTTGATTACGGAAACTTAAATAAGATGGTCATTTACTTAAATGAAGACGGAAGAATATTAGAGCATGTGGAAATTATTGATCGGGCAAGTACGTGAGCTATGGGTGGATTGGAGAAGACAATTTTGGCTTAAATTGAAGAAAACTTTAAGAATTATGGACTACAAGCTGATTGGAATCGTTATGGGCCAGTAGGCTAAGTCATTTGAGGCCCAATTCACAAAAGAACCCATTTCAGGCACCACCCGTGCAACCCACCCGCGCACGGCTGCGCAAGGCTCTACAAGGGCAATTTCGAAAATCCTTCTTTTTTACTATATGGGTAAGGTTGGTGTGCCACTTTTCCACACTTTTGCACCTCTAATTTTAGAGCATTTTCTGTGGAGAATTTGAAGACTTTTAAGGCCAAGAATATTGAAGACATCTCATTTTTACTCTTGAATCTTGCTACATGTTTGGTACAATCTACTTTATTTTGTTTTCTTGAGTTTAGTCATGCTAGGCTAAACTAATTTTGGTTGACTTTGGTGAAATCACTTGAATGTTTGGTTGAATGTTGATGAACCTCATGAACTTGTTCTTGAATTTTAATGAGAATGTTTTATATTTTAACATCTTCTTACTACTTGTATGTTTTATTCATGAGTTTAAATGTATTTGTAGTGATTAGTTTGTTAAATCTATGACTAAGTAATGGATCCTCAAATTAGCAAGCAACAAGTGATTCTTGTGTTAGTTTTCACTTCACACAATCATAAAAAACATTCTCTCCAACATGCTAGTGGAAGTTTTTGACTCCTCTTGGATTTGATGACTTTTTGGATGTTAATGCTAGTTAATTTACAATAATTAAATGCTTATTGGAAATTATGACTTTAAATAAGGAAATATGTTATGAGCTTCTCTAGCTATTTTAATAACTAAGAAAATTCTAGGTAATCTCAAGCTTCTTGGATTACTATAGCTAAATTACAGATTTAAGACAAGTATTTCATTTTGGATTCTAATGATATATTTACCAAGTGTTCAAATGCTGAAACCTTAAGTCTACCATCTTTCTCCCATTGATTTACATCAAATTCTTGCTTTTTTTTTAATTGTGTTATTTATTTCAAGTTTAAATCTAGTTTTCTTTAAAAATATCAAAAGACTAAAACCCCCATTTTACTTTTATTGTCATCTTATAAGTATTATTACAACGAGATTTACATTGAGTAACAAATTGAACCAATCTTCGTGGATTTGATCCTTTACCACTATACAATTTTTAGTGTACAAACTTTAGGGTTATTTATTTTGTTGGCCTCGACAACCACCATTAAACATTGTTAATATTTTATTGAGTCAAACCATACATAATTGCTCTGTGAACTAAAGTTCTGCCGTGAGATAAAATTTTCACTTAGTTGGAGTTTCACTTATTGTAATTCTTATCGGCCTTCACCGAGTTGGAGTTCCACATGCGAGATAAGATTTTGTAGGTTGTTAAAAATTGGTCCAATCTGTCGGAGACAATTGATGGAAGTTTTTGAGAGTTGAGAGAATCATAAGTCCAATTGCTTTGAGAAGCATATCGTGACTATGTGTTACTTTTAATGAAATAATACACGTAGGAAACAAAAAATACCAAATTAAACAACACACATTTTTAGTGAAAGTCGTCCAAGAGTATTGATTGATTTTTGGAACAGAGGGCGAGACTTGTAACCCTAGATCCTCACACTATTTGGAGCTCTGTTTATTCTGCTATAGATCATATGAACATCAAGATTACTGTAAAATTAGCTTCCACATTTTGAACAGTTGATTGATTCCCTCAACTCCACAACTGGATGAATGATGAATGAATGAAGTGGTCGGAAAGACAAACCTTTGATCATTGTAAAAACTTGCAAGAAAGAGTGAAAATGAAGTTGCGGCTGAGATTTTTTCGGTTAAGAAAAAAGCAAGACCCTGTCCATGAGAGCTTATGTGATTGAGAAAGAAGCTTGTAAGAAAGCCCTTTGAAGAAACACAATGCTCATGAGAGATAATGCTGAGAGAGATTTCTTTCAAAGGCGAGAATTGATAGTGTGTTGAGAAGAAAGAACCAGTTCAGGCATTGTGTCTGTTGTTTGATGTGCTCATGTTAATAACATTTGGCAAATGTTATAGTTTATAGCTAGAATAATTTTTCAGAGACCATTTCTATAAATTCTAAGAAAAATAAGGATCATTTCTGTTGTTTTTTCAAATAAAAGGACCGTTACACAATTTTATAAGGAATAGGCAATTAATTGAGAATTTTAAAGAAATATAATAAACAAAAAATGCACTAGTTCCGAAATGGTAATCGTATGTGAGAAGGAAACCACAATTCACAGACCAGGATATTTAGCTTACTCACTTCACTCTATGGTGGATAGTAAACCCTAATTCCCAATTCTTCGACATTTTACCCCGACGGATAAACTACTTGGTTCGTCAGATTGTAGGATGAGTAAGTTAATTTCTTCTTCATAAACCTCCATGTTTTAATTTGTTTGAATTCTGTGGATTTATTTTGTTCGTTCCAGTTAGCTATGTTTTTGGGTAGTCGTTGTCGATCATTACGTATCCACTGGAAAACAGAAATCAGGAAACTGATTTCCAGAAGATTTATTACATGAGTTCGAATATGAACGGTAAAATCTAGTTTTTGCCAGTAGAACGTATATTATGTGATCACAATCGAACCCAAAATGATATTTTTTTCCTTTTATACTTTTTCACACGCACGTGTGTATATATGAGGCTAGCATGTTTGGCGTATTCATCACTACATAACCTTTGTCATCAAAGTATTTATTAAATTCCGATAGCTCCTTTAACTGTTTTTATAATGAACCCATTAACTGATAAAACCCTCCATCAGTCATTTGAGATTATTTATGCACTTGCCATACTTTGTGTTTGTTCCATGTTTCTTGAAATCCTTTGTGTATATGGCCTCAACCTTTACTTTTTGGATAGCTGATGTTGCTCTTAGGTTGGATAAATATCTATTAGCGCTACAGAATGTTATATGTGATCGACATACATTTCTTGGAAAAATGCTTAAAACCATTAAATCATGAGTATTGCAAATAAAACAATTTCTTTATCATGAGTTATGTGATAATAAAGGAAACTGAGAAGAGTATCTGACATGGCAAGTTGTTCCATGTTTCTTATTGCCTTGTATTTTCTTTTAAATAATTTGGTCTTATTTTTTTCTGAATCTAATAACAGAGAGAAATAAAAAGAGGGTTGTCACTTGTGCTAAAGAAGATAGAATCAGTAACTTGCCTGAACACTTGATAGACTCAATCTTAGAGCAGGTCCCGCTTGAAGAGGCTGTAAGGACAACCATTTTATCAAAAAACTGGAGGTACAGATGGACCACAATGAGAGAGCTTGTTTTAGATCAGCATTTCTCCAAAAAATTTGCAAAAAATGGAGCTTTTGGTCGTAATGGGTTTATAAGGATCATAAACCAAGTCTTGTTCCTACACAAGGGTCCTATTTTGAAATTTCATCTCCATATACCAGACATATCTCTTGATAGCTTCCAAGACATTGATCAATGGATGTCATTCTTATCAAGAAACGGTGTCATGGAACTCATCCTTACTAATTTTAATCGACGTTACAAACTTCCTTCTTATTTGTTTTCTTGTTTGGAATTGACAAAACCGAAACTCCAAAACTGCTTCTTCAAGCCACCACCTGAGTTTGAAGGATTTCTTAATCTTGAAGATCTTTATCTCCGGAATGTTGATTTTGGGGCTAACTTGTGTGGACCTCAAATCAGCTTGCCACAGCTAAAGAAGCTGTCCATGTATTCATGCACAAATGTATCAAATTTCAACATCAAGGCTACAAGAATCTGAAGTTTGGCTGTCTTCACTTGTCCAGATGCCATGTTGCTCCAGCTATTGCATAGTCCATGCATTACTCGAGTTGCTATACGAGATTTTGTTCAAGGGGAAAGAATGAATTTGGAAAGGGTGTTACGTAACTTGCCTGTAATTGAAGCTTTATATATCGATGGTAGTTCTCTTAAGGTATGCTAGGAACTAAAATTTTATTGCCTATCATTTACTCTTCCTCAATTGGAGTATGCACAAAGTGGTCATACCTCTCTCATCTAATGTAATTCTCGTGTTTTATTAGGTAAGTTTAAAAATAACGTTCACTTCACAGTTTTTATCTGTAGAAAATATTCCAAAGTGGCTTCCGCGTCCGGTTAATAGCTTAAAGCATTTGAGGTTGCGAAATTTTCAAGTTGGTGATTTGGATCAACTTCATGGTGCTCTTTGTTTGCTTCGAAACTCACCGAATCTAAAAAGTTCTGTAATACAATTGTATATGGTAAAGTAAAAAGTGAGAAAAGTAAATTTATTTTGCTTATATGATACAAGAAATGGATGCTTAACTGCAGTTACATTTTTATATATTTCCAGGAGCCTCAAATTGATGTGGGACCAGCTTCAAATCATTTGGATACTCCAAACTGCTTGGACTATACATTGAAACAGTTGCAGACTGTGGAGATAATATCTTTAGAAGGATCAGGACCGGAACTGCTTTTTATAAAGCTTCTTCTTGCCCATTCCCCTTCTCTCAAAAGTTTTAGCATTAGACCAAGTAGAGATTCTGATGTTCAAAAAAGATTTGACATTGCTAAAGATGTTATGCAGTTCCCTCGAGCATCAACAAATGCAAAAATGTTCTACTTGGATCCGGAACCATAATCGTGTAAGAATCTTCAACTACATTGCAATTTATCTTAATATTATTACATATCTCCATCCTTAAAAGCGTGTTTTCTTGTAATTTTATTTTTACAAGAATGGCATCCTCTCTTTCCACAAAGCCCTACTATAAACTTCTGCCTTCAAAATAAAGTTGTATATACTTTTTTTAATTCACAATGATTTACGAAAATGTAGATAGATACCTATAACCGAAATCATGAATTCATCGATGTAATTTTGAAAACATATGTACACAGAGAAAGAGAAAATATATTCACAGCTTGTAGACAAATCGACTACAATAAATAATCGATAACTTCAAGATCGAAGTATAAAACCCAAATATCACGATAGCGATTCAACGGAATATAAAACTATTTGAATAATCAACCAAGAATAAATCGAACGATAAAAAGAAAAAACACACGATATTTACGTGGAAACCCAAATCGGGAAAAACCACGGGCGGAGGAAGCCGAGAACCAATTTACTATAATATTCAGTGTTTACAGAGATAGAGGAAAGAAAAACAAATATATCAAATATATATTTGTATGAATATGAGAGAAAAATGAAGATGTAATTTGTGGTGTGGTGTTTTTAATAAGCTTGGTTTCATTTCCTTTTATAGGCAAATGAATGTATGAATTCAATTGTCTATTACCATCCAAGCTTGACAAAAATGCTACCATCCATTCTTGACAAACATGCTACCACCCATTCTTGACAAATTAAAACCACATGTGTAAAATGGTATTCTAGAAATCATCCAATGTTGAAGTTTGAAGGAAACTTCCACAATCTCCACCTTGACTTCAAATGAGACAGGATGAAAAAACTTTAACTTGCACAATGATCATGCAAAACAGTTTATCAACAGCTCATCATACTCCAAATCTCTATAAGAATCTGCAAACACCATATGAGAAAAAATTGATTTCGAAAAGTAAATATACTTCCTCCACCACGAGCCTATCAGGCTCAAATGCGATCTGAAACACCCACCAAATCCAAACATGCTTTGAATTTGGCTATTGGAAGACTTTTAGTGAACATATCAGCAGGATTATCATTGGTGCTGATCTTGTTTACTGTAATATCGCCTTTAGCAATAACATCTCTGATGAAGTGATAACGAACATCAATATGCTTCGTTCGATCATGGAACATTTGATCCTTCGTCAGAAATATTGCACTTTGATTGTCACAAAAAACAGTGTTAACAGATAACTTGTTTGAAAGCTCACCTATCAACCGTTTCAACCAGAAGGCTTCCTTCACTGCTTCCGTAGCAGCCATGTATTCGGCTTCAGTGGTGGATAACGCTACAGTAGATTGTAACTGCGCTTTCCAGCTAACTGCGCAATCACCCAAAGTAAACACGTACCCTGTAATCGATCGTCTTTTATCCAAGTCCTTTGCATAATCGGAATCCACATAACCAAGTACTCCATTATCGGTTTTTCCAAACCGCAGACATAAAGAGGAAGTACCTCGCAAGTAGCGAAAAATCCATTTAACAGCAACCCAATGCTCCTTTCCTGGATTCGCCATGTATCTGCTCACCATGCTTACCGCATATGACAAATCTGGACGTGTACAAATCATAGCATACATAAGAGATCCTACAGCGCTGGAGTATGGTACCTTTGCCATGTATGCTATATCTTCTTCGGTGGTAGGACTTAAGGCGGATGATAGCTTGAAGTGGGCTGCGAAAGGAGTGCTGACTTCTTTTGCGTCATGCATATTGAAACGGTGCAGAACCTTCTCAATGTAGCTTTGTTGAGAAAGGTATAGAGTTCTTGCACTACGGTCTCGCACTATTTCCATTCCTAGAATTTTCTTGGCAGCACCCAAGTCCTTCATATCGAACTCAACATTCAACTGGTCTTTTATCTTTTGAATCTCCTTTATATTCTTCGCTGCAATTAACATGTCATCCACGTATAAAAGTAGATAGACCATTGAACCATCGTCACACTTTTTGTAGTAAACGCAGCTGTCGTAGGTGCACCTTTTCAGCTTGTGACTGGTCATAAATGAGTCAAACCTTTTATACCATTGTCGAGGAGATTGCTTGAGGCCATAAAGAGACTTCTTCAATTTGCACACGTAGCTTTCCTTGCCAGGAGCTACAAAACCTTCAGGTTGTTGCATATATATCTCTTCCTCAAGCACACCATTTAAGAATGCTGTAGTAACATCAAGTTGCTCTAATTCATAGTCATGAGAGGAAACTAATCCCAACAAGACACGTATTGATGTGTGTTTCACAACCGGAGAGAAAATGTCGGTATAATCGATACCTGGGATTTGACTGTAGCCTTTGGCTACCAAACGAGCTTTATATCTTGGTTTGTCACCAGGGTGGATAGCCTCCTTCAACTTGTAGACCCATTTGCACTTAACTGTCTTCTTACCCTTTGGAGCTGGAACGAGATCCCATGTGCCATTTTTCTGAAGAGATTCCATCTCCTTGTGCATGACAACCATCCACTTATTAGAATGTTTGGATTGAATGGCCTCGTTGTAGCTTGTGAGCTCCAGAACAGACTCAACTTCATTGGCAACTGTAAGTGCATAAGCGACATAATTGGCTTGAACATATCTCTTTGGAGGTACAATCTGTCTGCGAGGTCTATCTCTTGCAATGGAGGGACTGTGAGGTTGGCTTGGAGCTTCGGCTGGCTCATGAGAAGAGGAATGTTGATTATTCGAGGGTTGAGAAACCTCAACACCTTCATGAGACTGGTCCTCGAAAGATGAATTTAAAGGAAACTCCACCTCCACTCGAACTTTGTCTTTTTCCGAATTTTCATTTTCTCTGGTCTGAATGTTGGAGACAGGATGAAGCATGGCTTTTTCATCGAAGGTCACATCTTTAGATGTCAAAACCTTGCTTAGCTCCGGGCTCCATAATTTGAACCCTTTAACACCTGTCGGATATCCGAGAAAGACGCATTTAATTGCCCTCGGTTCCAATTTACCGATATCAACTCGGGCATATGCTGGACATCCAAATGGAATCAATTTTATGTAATCAGCAGGTTGGCCGGACCAAAGCTCAAATGGGGTCTTCTTTTGAATAGCACGAGAAGGGGAACAGTTGATAATGTAGCATGCGGTTGAAGCGGCCTCGGCCCAAAAAGGCTTCGGCAACTTCGAATGAGATAGCATGCATCGGACCTTCTCCATGATGGTGCGGTTCATACGTTCCGCTACGCCGTTCTGCTGTGGTGTATGAACTACGGTGCGATGCCTCGTAATTCCTTCCCTACGGCAATAGGAGTTGAATTCTTCAGAACAAAATTCCAGTCCATTATCAGTACGAAGGTATTTCACTTCAAAACCTGATTGCTTTCAACCAATACTTTCCAATCTCTAAAAGTTTGGAATACTTCTCCCTTTGACTTCAAGAAGAACGACCATACCTTTCTTGAGAAATCGTCAATGATCGTGAGCATATAAGAGGCTCCACCTTTTGATATAACCTTCGCTGGTCCCCATAAATCAGAGTGTATGTAGTCAAGTGGCCCTTTCGTCGTATGTTTGCCACCGATAAAACTCACTCGCTTCTGCTTTCCAAATACACAATCTTCACAGAATTCAAGTTCGATTGATTTGTGCTCCCCGAGCAACCCCCTTTGACTTAGTTCATTCATACCATGGTATGACATGTGAGCGAGCCTGAGGTGCCATAGACGAGAGCGATCAACGTTGGAGAGGGATTTAGAACATACCGAGACTTCGCCGGAGATAACTTGCCCATCCATAATGTAAAGGTTTGCGGATTTTCTAACTCCTCGGATGATCACAGAACCTTCCTTGAAAATATGGAGTTTCCCGTCTTTGCCAACAAACTCGTAACCTTTCTTCTCGAAAGTACCGAGACTTAGTAAATTTCGCCTAAGACCGGATACGTGCTTCACATCTTGAATCGTTCGAACAACGCCATCGAACATGCGGAACCTGAGTGTACCCCGTCCAATAATACGACACGAAATGTCGTTACCCATTAGAACGTGGCCTTCATTAACCTTTTCATATGAATGAAAAACGCTTCGGTTGGAGCTCATATGAAAAGTACACGCTGAATCAAGTACCCACTCACTCGTGGTCATTAAACCGTAGTCTGAAACGGATAGAAGCTCGCCATCGGAACCGCAACATCGGCTTCAACGGTGTTATTGGTTGTTTTTCCCTTTGCGATTGCCTTTGCTTTCTCCTTGTTCTTTAACTTGAAACATTCATCGATCAGATGTCCCTTCTTGTGGCAATAATTGCAATACTTGCGATTGGCTTTGGACTTAGATCTAGATCGGTTTTGTGAAGAGCTACTTCTCTCGTTAGGTCTCCCTCTGATGTTGAGACCTTCGGCTTTAGAATCGCTGCTACTGTTCCCAACTATCTGCTTCATCTTTTCCTTTGAATCAAGACCAGTCATTACCTCGTCAAGGACAAGAGTGTCCCGAGAATAGATAATGGTGTCACGAAAGTGATCGTAGGAGTCTGGGAGAGAAGATAATAAAAATAACGCTAAGTCTTCATCTTCGTATTTGACGTCCATATTCTCCAGATTTCCTACAAGCTCTTTAAAGGTAGAGAGGTGATCAGACAAAGAACTACCTTCACCCATCTTTAGGTTAAAAAGTCGTTGCTTCAAGTGTAGCTTGTTGGGCAAACTTTTCGTCATAAGTAGCTGCTCGAGTTTTAGCCAGAGAGCCGTTGCAGATGTCTCTTTCAACACATCTTGGAGAACGTCGTTAGAAAGATGCAGACGGATCTGCGACGACGCCTTCAGATCTTTCATCTCCTTTTCCTCAGTCGACCAAGTTGCCGGCATTTTCTCCATTCCTAATAGTGCTTTGTGGAGATCCATTTGGATCAACACATCTTTCATCTTTACTTGCCAGAGAGGGAATCTTGTGTTTCTGTCAAGTAAAGGAATATCGTACTTCATCGATGACATGGTTGAAAATAGTTTTTTTTACGAA